GCATCAAATCTGAACTGGTACTACAAGTAGGCTCCCGCGGAGGCTGGTGCTGCTCCTACCGACGTCTCTGAAGAAATCCAGGGATCTGAGTAGGAGGGCCCCCAACTTCAATCTCTTCTCCAAGAGTGGAGGAAAACACTTGAACACTCTGTAGGAATAGCTTCTGTCCACCACCCCAGTGACTGGAAACTGGGTGTGATAAGAACTCCCTAGCTTTACCAGCAGAATCTGGGAGATAATGCATTTTGGGGTGTCCTGAGGAACAGTGCAATAGGTGAACCAAGTTCCCTAAATTTTTAAAAGCAAACTGACCCCAATTTATTCAATCTAATGATCAGCAGAGATGAGCAGGACTCCTTCAACTTTACTCATGATACTCCATGAGTGGCGGTCCAGAATAATATGATAATACCATCTGGTAAGCTCCTAGATGGTCCTATGGAACATCTCATTTCTACAGAGCCTGTTGCAACCAGTAATAAGTATAGTTAAATTGGTTGCTAGTGTGGAATTGGACTGATAAAAGCACGACTGTCTGGGCAACACTCACCACAGAGTGGGATCCAGTTAAAAAAAAAAAAGAGGTAAGGATACTGCAAAGTAGAGAGACAAAAGGAGGACACAAATACCAATTCCTCCTTATAATCTAGCAAATATTGTCAAAATGGCCACAGGGGGTAGTCAAAAACCCTCAGAAGAAACTGCCAGATTGTGTAAAGAATGTGAGAGAAAAGTATTGTGATAAGTCCACATACCAGCCCATACAGTGTCCTTCAGTGGATAATTCAAATGGCAGCTAAAGAGATAGAAATGTGACAAATCTGATGAGATGTGACTCTCAGAAGTTTCCTCGCCTGTAAAAAAAAAGTCCTGAATAAGCAATATAGAAGAATTTCCACAGCCACCTTGTCAAAGTAATTGGGGATAAATCTCTGGAATCTGAAGGATCCCAATGAATAAAGAGTCGAATTCTATCACCTTGAAAGGAGCTAGTGCAAACCACATAATGCCTCAGGGCTCTGACAGGACATAACAAATGATCAGTGACTGATTGGTCAAAAAGGTGAAAAATAGCTGGAAAAAAAAAATTGGTGAGAAGGATTTATACCCTTCCCTGGCTGCCACAGTCTTAGAAAGAAAGGAAGTATCAGGGTATAGGATGACAGAAGTTGAGTGATAAAGAGTCCTGTGCACATGTAGTGCAAATAGTTCCAACCTACGACATCCACATGTCAGCAGCAACAAAAAATAACCTTTAAGGGAAAGGTACATGAGGCTAAAGGCTCAAAAGGATGTGGAGACAGTTTGGTAAGTGAAAAGCACATTTGGGAAGAAAGATTCTAAATGATTGGAGAAGGCCAGATAGCACTGAGGAGTCAAAACTTTCTGATGTTTAGAATAATGAAAAGTAGTCAATAAAGCTACCATAGATGAAGCTAAACCTGAGTAAAAAAACCAAGTCAAAAAACGAGATATGGTGGGCACATTTGGGCAAAGTAGGTTCAATTTTCTTGTTAGACACCATTGACTATAAGTGTGTCATTTCCATTGATCAATGGCCATTGTGGGTCTATGGATAGATTGAGACACATACAAGGCAACTTTAGAAGTTAAACCCCAATGTCATGCAAAGGAACACATAACTTCCATACATGAGGTGGCCTCAACAGAGATAGCCAAAGAGGAAGAGGTGGACCCTCTTGAAGATACTGTAGAAGAGAAAGCCATGGTTGGGCCAGCCAACTTGGAGTTACCAACAGCTCTCAAGTAGAGGATCGAATCATAGCCAGAACTCTGGGTAACAGAAGAATTGGGGGAAAGGCATAGAGGTGCAATCCCATCCAATCTTTACTGAATGCATCTATCAACAAAGCCCAAGGATGAGGTACCAGGGACAAAAAACACCTGTAGTTGAGAATTTCAATGAGTGGCAAAAATGTCGATCACCAGAGTCCTGAACAGAAAGCAAGTCTAATGGAAAACCTCACAATGGAGCATCTATTTGGTTGGGAGAATTAAATTGGGCTGAGACAGGTGTTCTGCTATGAAATTCATTACCCCTGGAACATGGCAAGTCAGGAGGCTGATAGGATGGGATTGAGCCCAGTAGAGAATATCCAAAGTTCAAAAACAAAGGTGCCAAGAACACATGCCCCCAGAATGGGAAATGTAAGAGACCACTGTGGAATTGACACAATGAATCATGATGACTTTGCCCTGCAATAGATCTAGACATTCCAACATTCCCTGTTGGACAGTGAGAAGTTCTAAATTACTGATGTGGAAGGAAGATTCATCTTCCAACCACAGACCTGGGAATTCCTGATCCACTGGTCGTGCAGTGACTACTGAAGGGACAGCACGTGTGCTCATTCTGAGGGAATCAGAGAATCGAGGGATGCTCACATCCACAAAAAAGATAGAACCATCCACGTAAGTATGAGTCTGAGTTCCTGTTCCATAGCCTGGAGCCGGATGGGAGTTGGCTGAGCCTGGCTTAAAAATGTTGAAAAAGACACTCAGATGGACAATATTGTAAGCCAGAAAAAGAATTGATTTCTTGGCTCTGTTAAGAAAGCCACCCTTGGTGGTTTCTGAAAAGAGAATCTGGGTGTATTGCTCTGCCAACTGATGAGATGGTGCCAGAAGGAACCAGTCATCCAGATAATGGAGTATGCACAGGCCCAAAGTATGAAGGTGACAAGAAAAACTAGGTGCTAGGCCAAAGGGTAGATCCCTGAACTGAAGAACTTGAACCCTGTGCACAAAACGTAGATAGTGGCAGGATGACTTCACTATGAGAATGTGGAGATATGCATCAGCAACATTGAACTTGGCCATCCAGAGATCTGGTGACGAATGCCAACGTAGGTTGAGAAAAAGACTCCATTGTGAACCTGGGAAGACTAAGAATTGGTTTACATGAGAAAGACTGATGATTGGTTGTCAATCTTCCATCTTTTTGGGGACAACAAATAAACGGGAATAAAATCCCAGAAGAATGGGATCAACTCTCTCTACCACCCCCTTGACCAATATCTCTCTGCTAGACTTGGGACAAAGATCCACACTCCACGGATCTGTTGTGGGTGGAAATACCACAGGCTGGGAGGATATTGAAGGTGGAGAAGTTAATGAAATGACCAACCCTGATGCTAGAACCTGAAGTACCCATGGATCTGTGTCGAAGGAATTCCAGATGTCCTTCAATTGTTGTAACCTCACTCCCACAGACCCCACCCCATAGGGTAGTCACTGATGCCATTGGCAACGGTCTGACTGAGCAGAAGAGACTTGAAACTAAGTAAAGAATCTATTCTTAGTATCCAAAGAGCGAGAAACAGTAGCCAGGAGTCGAGGCACCCGATGAGCAGTCATGCAATCACTTCCAGCAGGAGCCAAAGAAAGTCTAGAGGCTAACAACAAAAAGGAAAAAAGCAAACAGGTGACATCAATCCGTGATTCCAACACCTCTGGAATATCAAGGGACGAAAAAAAGGAACCTCATGTAACTCACAGTGGGCTACAACAGGTAGATGAACTCCCTCCAACGAGTCATCTCTATCCAATAAATCCCAACAACATACAAGCCAGGAAACCAAAAAAAGAGCAGAAGCTGACAATCTTACCAAGGTAATAAAAGTCAGCAAAAAAAAAACCCAAAAATCTCAGAACAGGAGTGAGGGTCAAACAAATCCAAGAAATTGTGATCTGTTCAAAATGATCACAGAGTCCAGTCTGGAAACCCACATATCCAAAAGAGGATCTATTCTGTGGAATCGAAATTAAAGTCCACCTGGCAGTGGTAAGCCAAAGCATGCTATTCATACAAACAAAGGGGACAAAGTATATCTATCCCGTCATGTAATAGAGCAGTAAATCTCCCAGCATGAACAGCAATATCAGGTGAAAGAGAAAAGACTAAATTGTCACCCTCAGACATTTCAGCTATCAAGAAAGAAGTAAATTCAAAGGCAACCAGAGAAAGCCCCCAAACCTCACAAACCCGATTGATGTGGCTGATCCAAACTGGCCTAGTGAGAAGCCATCCTAGTAAACAAAGGTGCCAGAAAAAGAGAGTCCAAATTCTCTCTAGACTGTCCTGGATCATTGACAAAAGCAACCTCAGAACACCCTGAACCAAATATGTCTCCATTTCACAATGAATAAAATCACGGACAGCCTCAACTGAGAGTGACCTCCCTTTGAGACGCACTAGATAACAGAGGTAGAATAGAGGAGGGCTGATTAGCCTCCGTGCTGGAAACAGTAATCTGTGAATTCATGCTTGAAAATGGAGTGTCACAATTTTTTTTCTTTTAAATAATAATTATTAAATATAATTCATATAGACAACCACTAAGCAATGTGAAGATTGCAACCAAATATGTTAATTATTGCAACACTTGTGTAGAGAAACCCATGTCTAATCACTTTGTTGAGAAAAAGTGATAAAATTATCTGAATGAGGTGCTTATATACAGTACCAGGATAAAGGGTGCATTGACGTAGGTGGAGAGTATATCACAAAGGACAATTGAGTTGAGCAAGCGAGAAAAAAATCTGACCAATGCTTAGAAGGCCAAAGTTGAAACCCTAGAGGTTGAAGACTAGCTATAATTGCCAGTGAATGATAAGAATGTTTAGGAAAACGTTTTGATGAAAGGCTCATTCATAGGCTAATTTATAGAGAGACTTAGTTATGTTACTTACATACAAGATAGGTATGTTTCTTTAAAAACTCATATAATTTCTTTTATTTCAATATGTATGAAAAACATATTTCTATCATTTTTTAAGCTATTAAATAGTATGTCACCTCCAATACTTTATTCACAGCTTTTCAGCCAAAATATGCATGTTTCCCTCAAATTAATACACACCCTGGTACTCTGTTCAGCACTCTACAGAAGTGAAACTGCTTATAACTATCTCTATTGTTTGTTAAGTTGTATTAGGCTTTTAAATATTAAGTCATTAATAAAAGAAACAATACATACCTAATTGTTGACAGAGTCTTTCTGCTTCTATGATTAGAGAAGAAGGAAATTAACAAAACTAAATTCATATAAAAAAGAAAAAACAGAAACAGTTACATGGAAAACTAGTTTAGCCTGTGAATTATTATGCAAAGTTTATTCATGCTAACATAATAATGCTTATCTGAATCTTGTTTAAAGATATTGTTCCTTCTACGTCACCCATGGAACAGATCTTTAACCTACATAATTATTATGTTTTTAATTCTAGCAAAAAAAGACGGAATTTTAGACACATCATATACATATAAATCTTTTTATGACAACCACTCTGTTTCATTTACATTACTATTTTTAAATATTCAACTACATTAAAGTTGTAAACCTATATCAATTCATGTTGTATGTACGTATGTGTGTTTGTCAACAAGCTCTTCCCATGGTTTTGGGGCAATTAGGACCAAACTTGGGGTGTCCATAGCTTCCTATTAAGGGGTACCAATGTGGGCTAAAATGATCATGGTGGATTTTAAGGATCTCTGAATCTGATTTGAACATCAGATTTTATGTTCCTGCTCCCTTCATGATCCTAGGGGCACCATGTTTGAAACTATGTTCATGCTATCATTCACAAGTTATTGGGACCAAACATGGCACATATGCTCAGGCACCAAGGCAGGTATCCTAAATGTGCTTGCTTTTTGGCACATACTCCCATTGGGGTAGCTAAAGAAGTGAATGGGGATAATGGAGGAACTTGGTAGTACATATGGGCTTCTGTGAATCACAAGGGGGTCTCTGAACCTTGCAGTAGAGCATGGGTATTTTATGTTTGTTGTTTTGATTTTGCTAAATATTTAGGTTTCGCATTATTTAAAATTATATGTAGAATCTCTTATTACATCTTTAAAATAAAAACTACCAAAGGTTGTTCACACACATGACCCACTTCCTGACATAAACTGGAAGATAATTATATCAATATTGCACTAACCCTTACATTAAAATGATTAATATTATATAATATTACTTGAAAATTTAACACTTTGGAAATGACTGAGCATGGTTTGAATCAACAATTACATTTTTAGTAAGCCAATGACAAAAAACAAAAAAAAATGCCTATTACATAGCAGTGGGTAAAAACTTTCTTAAATGAAACTCTAGCTAATGGTGACTTAGTACATTCTAAATACATTAATCACACTAAGAATTACATAGAAAACTTTCAAAAATCCATTAAAATATGATTTTGGGCATTTCCAAACAAGTGGTATAATTGAAAAAAAAATTTCAAAAATTGACACATCATATGCTTACAGCTAATAAAGTGTAGAGATGTAAATATCAAAATATAAATTACTAACGGTTCAGAAGAATTGAGGCTGACATCTGAAGAACGATTACTGTTAGGAGTGCCTTGAGAAACTGATGATTTCTTGCGTCTCATGGTAACAGCTATCCTCTCATGTAGTTCTGTTGGTGAAGACTGTACAAGACAAATAGGGATACAAGTAATCATGAAGTTGCAATACTTTTTTATTGTTAATAAAATTGGAGTCTTTGTATCTAAAATAACTTGGCTAAAATATCTGCCATGTCATCGCATTTGTTGACTTACATTCAAAATTTTATTGAACTACTGTTTCATGAATTTATGTCAATATGTTTGGTACCAAACTGTATATTATAATTCAAATCTTAGTATTATACATTACTCAATTTCTTAATTTAAAAGTAAGTATTAAAAAAACACAGTTAGACATTGATTTTTGTGTGTCACGTGGTATGTTGAATGCAGCACTGGTTCAAATCAGATATTTGTGATGTCAAAATACTAAGACTATAGTTTCGTATGAATTAGAAACTCAAATTACCAATATTGACAAGCTATAATATAAAATAAGGTCTTATCTTTTCTACTTGCTAAGATATTGCTCATGTAATAAATCAAACACAGTGGCACTCCACCCACCTCTTTCCATTTTTTTGGAAATGCTCTCTTATATACATTTACTTCTATATATGACATGAAAAACCAATCAAAAGCTCAGAATGTCCCCCCAGTGGCTTTCTTAGCCATTTTGAAATCTTAGGATGCCATCTCTTTCTTTCGAACCAAGCTTTCAAGGAGGTGGGTTGTGTCTTTAATCTGCTCGAAATTTAATATTTTTTTAGACACAAATACAGCTTAGTTACTAAGCTTGATAAATTATAGTGGAAATCTGTGGTATTGATATAGTAATTTATGACCTTTTAGTTATTTAATGTATATATAAATTAAAAAAAATATTTCGTTTCATATTCTCCAAGTGCGAAATTTTAAAAAGCTTAGCAACCAATGTCAAGCAGCAACCAAGTACAAAGGTCATAACTAGAAGAGATAATTGTTTGCTT